TGAATTGGAGCTATAGAAATAAACTGAATTGATCCGTGTGGCACGGTAGGGAAGCTAGTTTTTTATGAATGATTGCGGAGGCTGACTGTAAGGAGACTACGCTGTCTGTTCATGCGCTCTTTGTTATCTGAGAACTGAGCCAGAGCTGAACCGTGCGGAGCCCTACTGATGAACTAGAACCAGTTTAGCGCAGTTCAGTTGTGTCTGGTACAGTTCGGTTCAGTTCTGCGTGTCATTTACACTCAACAGTTATCTCGGTTACCATGCTCAGACCGATCTCTGCACGGTTTCAAAGCGGTAGAGTAAACCCAGCGTATGTCACAGACCGGTTTCTGTTTGGGTTCCTGTTCCTGTCGGCTCCTTTATGTGAACCCACTCTGGATTTAAGTTCACAAAGGTTCAACCTGACAGCCTTCACTGGGAAAATAGGACGCTGCAGAGAGGAAATGATCAAAGGTGTAGACTTGCGTCACGTTACTGAAGTCAGATTGCAGCAGATTTGGACTTTGGCACCAATGATTCATGACTCCACTTGGACTCGATCCCTCTCACTTAAAAATAGTTGATATCCTCGATCAAACAGAAAGCGACGTGCGATCCAACATAAAACACGACGACCCCCCCCTCCCATTCATCTGATTTTTCCTTCTCTTGTTGCTGCAACAAACACACTTAATTTACTATGATCTTTCTTTTTCTCTCTGTAAATATTTTTTTTCCTAGAAATACAGAGGTTTCCTCTTGTTAAAATAAGTTTTTCCCCTGGACTGTTGCTGCATGCATGTTGTGGGTGAGGGATTGCTGTAGTCAGCTGGAAAATCAAATATCTACTCTTGCCGTGCTCTTCTAGAAGGAGAGAATCCTGCAAAGTCAATGACTGAATGCAATCAGCTGGTTTTCCTTAGATATAAAACTATGAACTGATTGAATGTATAATCTTACTGAATTATCTCTGTAAACTACCTTGAAATGATTAAAATATTGCTTGTGTTCAAGTGAAAAAAGATGTTCATCATAACTCTTATTGAATGATTTTTTTTATAAAATAAAAGCAGATTGTACAGTGACATGAAATTTAATTTGTAAGGAAATCGGTTTTATTTATCATACATCAGTTTGTTCATTTTTTATTTATTGGATATTTTTGCTTTATTTTCACAAACTATCTGCTTTTAAAAGCAACACAAATATTGCTTTCATCTTCCTCTTGCTGGTTGTTCTTGCAAACACAAAATAACTAAACAATTTAAAGTACTATATGTGGTGAAATGACTAACTTAACTTTAAAATCCAGACTTAATACTTGTCTTATTAGTGGACTCCATATGAGACTTTCATGCCTTTACTTTAAACCAGACTTTAAACGCTATGACTGGGGCCCATCTCTACAAGCTATGCAAATGGAATTTCACAAGCATCTCTGACTTTCAGCATAAATTATTTCAACCCAACTTACTAAAGAGGATGTGTCAGCGGTTGGAGCTTCAGATTTCAAAATAGAACAAACTTATCTCACCACATTTTAGCAGTTTTGTGAGTTCTGTTGCTTATATGCACCATTGTTGCATTAGCTTTAGAATAAGTGACACTTAAAGCTGCTACTGTGGACACAAAAATCTTTTATTGCATAGAATGCACTGCATTAATGCCTAAATTTATATATATGCATATACATTAGTTTATTTGCCTTGAAGTTGTTGCCAAAATAGACTCAAATTTCGTTAGGTTTCCAGATTTGTGACTGTTATAACTTTCATGACTCTGCACTGTTAATTTCCACCACTCCTGTCTACTCCTGCTCATCTCTGTGCTGCATGTAACTGAATTATTTTTTTCAACTTGCGTCTCTCCTGCCTGCATCCTAATAAACCCTCATCCATATCACCTGTGATCCTGGCTTTATATGCAGCTCTGTGGTGAGAAAGCTTTGCCAGATTATCGAAAGCCATTTGTGGATAAATATCCAGCGTTATTTTCCTGCTTCCTGTCTGATCTCGATCATGTTTTTGTCTCCTGGATTTTTTTTTTAGGAAATCCTATACACTACTGTTTATGCTCTAAAAACATTCTAAATGACTTCGTTTCGAGTAAATTCTGGATGCTACCCACTCAGGACACTTGGAATACATTGGACGAGCAGTATGGAGGAATATTGACACGTTTTTTTGTGGACTTTTATGGACCTTTCTGCCTCGGGCGCCATAGACCTCCATTATTTGAATGTCAGCAGACAGCAAGAAGCCTCCCAGATCTCCAGATGCATTTGAGATATCAAAAAAGTACTCCAGAGTGTTGTTCAGCATGGGGGTGAGTAGAAAATGAAGGCTAATCATGTTTTGGGTGTACTATTCCTTTAATATGCCTCCTTGTCTTTGACTTTTTGCTTCCATTGCTATAACAACGTTTCTTTTCCCTGATCACAGAGTCCTACCTTTTTCATGCCTTTTTGGTCAGCAATTGTTAAATTACATTTTATGTATGATACTTCTTTCACTATTTATCATTCCTAACAAATCACTAGTGGTGATAAGGTGGCAAAGTAAAGGAAGTTTAAAAAGGGTTTAAAAAGTAATTTTGGAAGCTAGAGCAAAGAAATAAACCTGGTGCAGTAGAAAAAAGTGAAATTCTGATAAAATAAAATCTCTAGAGGCATTTAGAAAGACTTTCATTTGGGGTTGCCATCTTACCCAGCCACATGTGAATGCAGTAGGACGGTGCAGAGGTGGTGAAGAGCAGCAGGTAGGCGTCCCCGGTGTAAAAGCTGCCATGTAGGGCTTTGGGAACCGGCTTAAGGTCCATGTTCTCAATACGCCACACCTGCAGCCCAGGCTCTTTCCCTGCATTTTGAAACTCCTTGTGGGAAACCATGGTGGCTCTGAGGGGGCAGAGGGGAAAACACAGAGGACAGGTTTAAACTGATTCAGTTTCTAAAATATTTGCAACATGAAGACACACATGAACCTACTGACAGAAAATATAGGACAGAAAACACAAACCGCAAAACCACAAGGTGACACAATGTTTTTTTTAGCATTGACACTGTGATGTGTTTCCCTCAGCGAGGCTCATAGATAGCGCATGTAGAGAGAGAGCGAAACCCACCATAGATATGAAACCTAGAACTCTCCTAGACAAGCTCTGAAAACATCCGTCACCCCCCCCCACTGCAGCTTTAAAACCTTAGATTCACTGAAATCATTAGCCAATGAGTTCAGGATGCAAGGCAACATAAAATATTTATAGATTTCTTTTCTTGTAAACGTTCATTTCGTTCTGAATCCCTCATTATCTCCATCTATGTATAAAAAATGTAACTATTTAAAAGTGCTGCTCTTCCTCTTAGGTGGAATAAATTAGCAGTGATGCTGTATGGCAACGATCACAAAACTGCAAAAACAGGCCATGGAGAAAAAACATCCAGCTTTAAGAAAAGACACAATTCTTTCTTTAAAGGTCTACAACTTTTTCATCACAATTATACATTTTTTTTAAAATATCACAGCCACCAAACATCTAGAGTGGTTCAGACTAAAAGTATTAATTTTACTGAAAAAGGCAACAAATTATCACCTTATCAGTTGTTTTTTTTGCAGGATTACATAAAAATTTACAAACTAATTTTATTTAAACATTTACCAGAGATGCAAATCAAGCCAAGAAACAACACAATACAATATTGGTGATGATCAAGATTCTAATCCAGAAACAGGAATCTTTCTAAAGGATTCCTTAACATTATTTGGCGGAACAAGCAGTTCCCCCCTAAACCAGAGGGTGGCAGTAGTGT